CTGTGGATAACAAAGACTGATAGTAGTATCAGTAATTTTAAAGTAAAAAATATTACTTTTGTCTTCTTGAAGCTGTCTCCAATCCAAGCAGAATAGGCTCAGCTGATAGAAAAAATGAGACGAAACATAACATAAACCAAACCCTGATAAAGCATGGAAATGCAAAAGCAGGGCCATCCAAACAATTATATTTCTCTTCTGTGGTGACATTGTGCCAAAATGGTATGATCACAATCAAGGCTTTTAAGTAACTGTGACCATAGATTAGACTTAATTAAGGTTTAAGACATGTTACATGTCCTCCAGGGACACCTACAAACTGAAGCATTCAAACTCAGGGGATTTTTCTGAAAGAATTGGCCTTAATCTTTCAGTTGTTGAATAAAATCACTGTGTGGAACATGCATCTAACAATTCATCTTTTACTGATACAGCTCCCAGTAAATTGTCTCTTCCCAAAGTTATAAGCCTGAAGAAGCTATTATGAGAACAGAGCATTTTATTTTAGATGAAACCATACAAATCTCAAGGAGAGAGGAGGCTGGCAGAGAGAAAAGTCCCCTGATATGTATCTTTTAATTAACATAGCAAAACAGTCCTTTCTGTATGCAGGTAAATCATTTATGCACAATTCACTTGGGTTTCTCATGCTTATCACTAAAACCCTCTTTCTTCCCCCAAGTTTGATTTATTTTGTAGAAAAAATATTGAACTAGAAAAGTTGTATTATATGATGAGGGAGCTTAGGATGTAGAGCAGTGAGGAGACAACAGTCATTTAAATTGCATTAATTCTTACACAAAGCAAGAGCATAAAGTTGACCATTTGTCTTACCCAGGTTTTACAATATTCACTTAAAAGATTAAAGTTTAAGTATATATACACTGTATATACTCTACAGACACAGCGCACAGTTGAATATAAACCTGAATTACTATACTGCAGGGAATTCTGCCATTTCAGACAGCTTTTTCTCCCTGCTTCACTAGTTCCCTAAAACATGGATGGAGGTTAGATTTTCTCCCCAGCAACTAAAAGGAATTTTGACTTCTACAAAGCATCCATCCATCTGACACTCTTCATTACTGCATCATAAACGAGAATGTTTTGCGTTGGAAGGGACCTTAAAGACCATTTAGTTTCACACACGCTGTCACTAGTAGGGACATCTTCCACTAGACCAGGTTGCTCAAAGTCCCATTCAATCTGGCCTTGAACACTTCCAGGGATGGGGCAGCCACAGCTTCTCTGGGCAACCTGTGCTAGTGCCTCACCACCCTCATAGTGAAGATTTTTTCCCAATAACTAATCTAAATCTACCCTTTTCCATCTTAAGACCATTCTTCCTTGTCCCATCACTATTTGCTCTTGTAAAAAGCCCCTCTCCAGATTTCTTGTAGGCCTCCTTTCTGTACTGGAAGCTGCTCTAAGGCCATCCCGTGAGCCTTCTCTTCTCCAGGCTGAACTAGCATCTGAGAGTCCATGACCTTATGTTAGATGGATAGTATGCAAACTCTTTATAAATAGTTAGCTGATTTTCCAAGGTATTTTGGAGAGGACAGCAAAGCCAGCAGTCCTTCTCAAGGATGTTAAGCCACAATGTTTACTTACACTTCTCCAGTAAGCGCTTTTTTTGACTACCAACAACAATAAACGCTTACTGGGAAAAATAATCTTGGCATCCTGAACTCAGGAAAAAACCTTAACACTGTGCCTCAGCACTTCCTATGCATGCTGTGCTCTGGTGCTTTTCCTTACTGTGTCATTCCTCCTTCTTGCTACATTTGGGACTTCAGTAATACCTGGGAAAGAAAGAAGCTGCGTGAGGCATTATTAGCTAAATTATTTTTTTGACATTACATTGAAAGTTTGCACTACTTTCGATACTCAGAAGCGAAAAATTATTAGCTTTTCTGAGCTATGGTTAGCACAGGTTGGGGTTTTTATGTAGGCAGAGCAAATGGACTGTGAGGATGGTAATAAGCCTCACTAAAGCAACAGAATGTGCTCCAAGGATATTCACATTTGTTTTGAAGCATTTCTATTACAGAGAACCTTTTTTGTATTTTATTCTGTGAAATAGTTTACAGGATTTTGTCTTCCCCTTTCACTGATATTACAATTAAAAAGATTAACTAAAAATACCCTACCAAAAAATGAGAGTGGTGGAGCAGTCTGATTCAATTGTATTTATTCTGCATACTCCTTGAAATTAGGACACAGTTAATCAGCAACTCTGCTTAATTAGTAAAAAACCTATTTAAACCTAATGATACAAATGGCCAGGGTTGCTGCTGCTTAATGGAGACTGTAGTTCTGCTTAATTGGGATGTTTTCAGGTAATACAGTGGCTCTCCCTCTCTCGCCCTCTCCCTCTCTCTCTCCCACTGGGAACATTTCACAATTGGAGCTGACATAGCACCCAAATGGCTCCCTCGCTGCACCTTTCACCTCCTCACTTCAGCACCAGCTCTTCACTGCCAGCTGCCCTGCTGCAGAACAGATGGGCCGCCAGAGGATGGGGACCGCTCAGGTGTAAGGTCTGCTGCCGGCCGCCTTGAGTGTTGAAACAGTGCTTTCCAGTAGTCAGAAGGGCTGTCATCAGCTGAACGGTTCAGCAACACAGCACGGACCTATCTGTGACACCTACCACAGACCAGCAGTGATTACAGCCACCTGAATGTTTTCAGTGAGAAGTTTGAGGAGTTTGCAATTCCTGCTGCTGTGACTTCCTTAACACCTCCTGATTTTGTATTAGTGCTACCATACCTTGATCACTAGCCCCTAGAAGAGCCTCCCTCTCCCTCAAGCCTTATGTTGGCAGCCTCACTGGGAAAAGGTCACTGAAGTATTCAGGTATTTTCTCAAACCTGCAGATGATCTCCCCATATCACAGCACTGTCACCCTGACAGGCAGTGCAAGGAATCGTATCACAGAATCATAGACTGATTTGGGTTAGACATGACCTTAAAGCTCATCTAGTTCCACCCACCCTGCCATGGGCAGGGACACCTTCCACTAGACCAGGTTGCTCAAAGCCCTGTCCAAAGGAAGCTTATGAACTAGCTGATCTGTCATGCAGAAATAACAAAAGCTGGCTCAAAGGATGACAGATTCTCATGGCCATTAAATTCACTGCAAATAACTAAGAAAGGATTCGTAAAGATAGTGTTTTAGACAAGATAGCGAAGACAGAACAAAGTTTGCCCAGTACACAGCACTTGGCAGCATGTCAGTATAACATGAGACGGCTTCACTTCCATCAGCAAAGAGCTTAGTGCCACAGCAGAGTCTCTCTAATTTAATTGTGCCCATCAACTGAAACTAGACCTGCCAAATAGTACCACATCGGTCCAGCCAACCCTCAGGGTCAAGCAGCAGAACAACTTTGCAGCCTGTAACAGGGCAAGTTGGGAAGATAACACAAGACCCGGAAAACGCAAAAAGGGATGTAGCTCCAAGCTGCTTTGCAGTTCATCAGCTGTCTTTTGCAAAGGACTGAAATGGGGAGACCACAGCCAGCATTCAGTAACTGGAAATACATTCATTTCAGGGAATATAAATATTGCTCTACTGATCCATCTTTAGCTGAACTTTCTTACCATACTCCTTCGCACCTTCAGTGTTTTCTTCTGGCTTTTCACATTCAAAACGCCCAGTGCAGGCATTTAATGAAAAAAAGGCTTTGTTTGAAATTGTGCCTGCACTAGTTCCTATATAAAGTTTCACTAGTACAACCCTGGTAAGTATCGATGTTCTCAGTGCAAGCATAGGACGACAACAGTGTGGCTGAGGCAGAAATGAAACATCAGGACTAGCCACAACAGCAGCAAGTGGAGGGAGCAGGAATGGCCAGTAAGCGGGTAGGGAGAATGGAATACCAGAAAGCTTTAGAGAAGGGTAAGAGAGTAGAGAGATTACACACCAACCCTAGCCCACCTCAGGAGCAGATGGGATTTGGAGTGGTCGTTTGTGCAGGGCAAGGATGGTGTAACAGTGACTGGAAACACAGCGCACATATGCTTAGTGTACTTATTCAGAAGTGAAACAGGAATTGTCACTGTGAATATGTCTGACTGACAGCGAGTATCTGTGCAAGGCGATGCAGTGCATCCTGGGGCTCTTCAGTACATCTTTAGAAAACACTGAGCTCCTTCAACTGCCTCATGTAAAACTGTATCCAAAACCTTGTCTCCCCAAAAAGACCTGCTGGAACCCATCAGGAAAAGGCAGCATGACTTCAGTGGTACCGAAGCAAAACAACGCAATTATAAACTCCAAGAGTGAGAGAACATTGTGTTCCAAAAACACCCCAACCCCAGCCTCCCACGCTCTTACAACATTCTTGTCTGACCCACCGGATTTCACCACCTTTGCGTTCATGACCTTGTTAGTGTTGGTCCCATCCCCTTTTCACTTGCAGTGAAGGGCCACAGGGCAATGACGAGACAAAATCAGCTCAGCCACATCAGCCCCGCCAGCCATGCAGGTGAAGGCAACAGTCTGACGCTAAGCCACACAGGGTCTGGGTACCTAACGCAAAGCATAGCACGTCAGCCATAGCTAGTGCATTTTTGCGTGAGGCCACCATGAAGAACAGGAACGCCTACCCTGGAATAGCTGCAATACTACTTTGAAAATGCTGTAATACAAAAGATCTTCCTGCTGGTAACAAACATGGAATGATTTATACGCATAATGTAAAAAGCATGAAAACAACTGAGCACAACCACCATTTTAGAGAAATGCCTGGGTCTGGGAGTGACTGCAAGCACAAGAAGAGTGGACCTGGATGGAAAATTAAATGCTGTTTTGGCTCTCCTACAACCTTGCTGGCCACATGGTCTATTAAGATTCCTTATCACAACTGCAATTTGGTTACCACTACAACAGTTTCAGGCTTTGAAGCAGCAGCTAGCTGGAGCTGCTCAGGTTAAAGACAAATTTCTTTTTTAAGCTATATGAATGATCATTAAACAGGATTGCTAAAGAAGCAAACTGTCAAAGTTGTTTCATTTATTTCTTAGTATCACAGCTGTACAATTTTCATACATAAGCAGGAAATGCACATTGGTTACACAACGGCATTTGGCTGCATTTCCAAGTATAACACAGTAAGTGCAACTCCACTTTAAAATGTACATTTATACAACTTAAACAAATTAAGGATTGCTACACTACTATCTGTGACAGTATAAAGCTTCATTTATGTGAAATCTCATTACTAAACCACTTCCTGGTTAAATATAAAACATATTCAATCATTTTAAAATGGCCCTTGTGGTATTTGGCCAGCATATAAAATATTTGTTGTGTAAAATTTAACCATTAACTTGTATTTTTTTTTAAAAATAATCCTCTAAGCCTATTTAAACTCTTGCTATTGAACTGTTATACTGACACTTTGTAGCAGGAACCAAATTTTACCCTCCTTCTATTTGCTCTTGCACTGCTTATCACTGAAAGAAGTTATATTTTTAATGTATTGCAGCTTTATTCAGATACAACCAGATTGCTAAATTGTTTAACAATTTTGGCCAAAAGGTAAATAATATTTTTCATCAAAGAAAACAAAATTACATTGCAGAGATCTTTGTCATCAAAATTTTAATGGGTAGAGTGCTACCAGCACTGAAAGAGAAACAAAAAGAGTATTAATTTATCTTTTAAGACCCATCCACATATTCAGTTTAAACTCTTATAACTTTACTTTTGGAATACATTGGTCCACAGACCACATTCTTGTTACAGTTTACCAAATGAAAACCAAAATTGCTTATTGCCGTCCCTGTAACAGGAATGGTTCAGTTTTAAACCTCCTTTAAAAATATACATTTTACAATCCTTTCACCTCAACAAAGGTGACACTGACAATAAATACACTGGTTTGGTGGTTCTGTTTTTATTCACTTCGAAAAGTCTACAAACTACCTGTTGTAGGCCCTTTCTTTTTTAGACTTCTCCAATGCCTTGTCCATAGTTTTCTCGTTTTCTCCTCTACATTTGGGGCAGTACCATTTGCCCTTTGGTTTGTGATTGAGTCCCACACAAGAAAAGTGAAACCACTCGATGGGGCACTCATCATTATCACATCCTATCATTTCTCCATAGGAGACTTGGTTGCACAAGCAATATGTTGGCTCATTAGGGTCAATAGGAAGGTCAGGGGGAGAAGCTTCTCTCTCTGCTTTTGCCTTAGATCGTTTCTTCTTCTTGGACGTCTTTGCTTTCTTCTCCTTAGGAGTTCCTGAAGTGATGTCATCATGATCATGATTATTTGAGGCATTTTCTCTGTTCTCGTTGTTCCTTTGCCTCCTCGACCTCTTGTTGTTGGGCTTTTCAGCCTGTGCGATTGTCTCATTCTTTGACTTATCTTGGCTGGCTTTCCCACTGTTTCCAGTGGTGTCATTAGTCTCTTGACAGGTCTCAAACAGTTCCACGTGGCTGTCCACTTGCCTTGTTCTGTTCTCAACGAGCTCCACCATCTGACTGACGATTTGGATCTTCTCATCCCCCAGTTCCTGACTCCGAATCAAGGCTCTCTGGATACAGTGCAACATTCTCCTCTTCTGCATGGCATCTGTCTCTCGTTTAAATTTTTCATAGTAATCATCCAGGTCCTTCAGAATCTCTGCAAGGAAGAGATAAAAACTGTAAATATTTTCAACAGAGATAATGGCAAAACAAAGCTTTCCCGTATTTTTCCTTCCATGCAGCAACACCTTTTTGTAACGCACAAAGATTCCCTGAAGCTGATATCTGACAAATGGCTGATGGCTCCAGTGGGTTACGTGTGTCTGGTCGGTCCTGCAGGAATAGGACGCAAATGCTGATTTAGGGAAAAAAAATAGTGACTAAATACCATTTTATACACACCAACAATTCTTCCCTTCAAACTTCACAGTAATCAAAATTAACTAATTAGAATATGCACACATACCCCCCACAGAAAGTTCCAACATTAGCTGTAACATTAGAGGGGAGATTAATTGATTGTTGTTTTTTTTCCTGGATGTTTTCTGTAGAATAACATTAATATTTTTAGTGAATGACTGAGAGTGGGAGAGAAAGAAAGTGAGCACAAACCAGTGTAGAATCAGATGCTGTGTTACTTAACAATCACTATCACACTTGACAGCTGATACAAGAAAAACCTTTAAATACATGGGGCTGAAGGCTAAGCTATGGCAAGTTTCATCTAAACTGAGTTGCTGAAAAAGTGAGGCCACTTAAATCCCCAGGACTACAATATTAGGATCAGAATATCCAAGATGTCTATGTGATTTCCTCCTTACACTTTCTGTAAAATACCTGTTGCTTCCTTTTACAATACAGATATACAATCTTCATTACATATTTACTGCAGAGAAGGAAATAAAAAGTTAGAAGATACCATTAAAGATGATATGCAACAACTGGAGCAGCTAGAGCTTCCAGCTTAAAACGCTAACATTGAAAATATGTTAGATCTTGACCTGCACCTCAAGGACTGTTCCAATGTTGTTTATATGAAAGAACAGTATTGAAAGTGTTTCAAGATTAAAGAACGGTTCTAGAAACCTATTTTTAAGCAGATGTTTTTGAGCTTCACTACAACACAACTCAGCGTCTCCATATTAAGTCCTCAAAATCACGTAGGATGTTTTTGCTGCATCTCCTTTCTTCGATTTTTTTCCGTTTCTCACAGGTTAGAACATTCTGCCCTAGAGAAGCAAAATACATCAATATATAAAATCTAACCTCAATTCACTTTGCAGAAGCCAAGATCTCTTACAAGTGCAAATGGCATTACCACAACTTTTTTAAACATTTTTTTCTAAGAAAATGTGATACACATGCAACTAACGGTCTTCCTGTGATTTAGGTTTTGTCTTGCCCAAGCAATTTTCTGAACACAGGTGGTCCTAATTTCTAGTGAAGACATGGAAAGTTTATGCCAAGTTTTCCTTTAGCTTTTAGAGCTGCAGCCTACGCTTCCTCACATCAGTAAACACAACCTGTCAGCTGGTACTGCAAAATTACCTATCTGACCAACTTTAGCATTCCAATACATTATTAAATACCTTAATCAAATGCTTTTTTCCCCCTAACTACAAGAAAACCCCGAAGAAAACAAAAAGCCACCAAAAAAAAAAAAAAAGAACTCCAAGTGTACAGATTAAGCATTGAGAAAGACTAAAAATCTAGAGTTAATTATTTTCAAGGGCTGAAATGCAAGAAGTTTTGTGTTCTAAGCTTTGGCATGTGACTGATGTCACCAATTTAACCCATCTGAATATGGGAGGTAGGTATCTTTCATAAAGAATACTCTCTCAATAACACAAAATAACTAATGACTTCAGCTAGCGGTTATGAAAACTTCAGCTCTAGTATTGCATATACACATTAACACCACAGCACCTCCTATTACGCAGGAGAAACAGTTAACTGCAACGATTTTGACTTCTGCAAAGCCTTGCGAGCACGTTCCTCGGCGCTGACACGTTCAGTATGTAAGATGCGGTGCGGGATGTGCTTGCTCACAAAAGCGGGCAAACAGAAAGGGATGCCTAGCATCATTGTCAGAAACACGCTACTCAAGCTATAAAGAAAAGGATCGACAGCTGTTTACTACAGCTTGGAGGGGGAGGATTCAACCACCGCCCTTCACACAGGCAGGCTCGCCTTAAGTCGCCCGCCCAGGGGAGACCGCCTTTATAGGAAACCCAAAAAGCCTCTTTCTCCCGGCGTGCTGCCAAACAAGGACCAGCGAGCGGAGTTTAGCGCGATCTGCGTGTTACGCAATTGTTCCCTAGCTGTGCACGCACCCAACACCGCAAACGCCATTAAACCGACAAAAACAGTGTCGCACGCTGCGAAAGTTTTATTCCCGAATAGCTCCCTCACCGGGGCTGGGACCCCACCACAACGGCCACAAGCGTACTGAGCGGCCAGAACTGGGCAGCCCAGGGGCCCCCGGAGGCGCGATGCACCCCCGTGAGCAGGAGAGCCGGAAGCCATGAAGTGACGCCCGCCTCCCGGCCGGCTGGAAACTACCCTCAGCGCTCTCCCCCACCGGCCATACGGCGTGCGGGACACGGAGGCAGCGGCCACCCCCCGAGCTGGGGGGGGTCCGGTCCCCTCCCCGCCCCCCTGCAACCCGCGTGCTAGGGCGCCCAGGGAAAGGAGGGCGCCAGGCGCCACCTTTACGGCGCGGCAGGCCTTAACGGTCCTAATGCAGAGCAGCCGCCGCGCGCCCGAGCGAGACGCTGCCGCATCCCACAGGGCCAGGGTAGCCGCCGCCTTCTCCTAGCAACCATCACAGCGGCCCCGCCCCGGAAGTGACGGTGTAGCTATTGTTCTCCGGCAGGAAACCGGCCGCGCGTCTCCCCGGTTGGCGGCACAGCAGGGAGCTAGGGGAAGCGGGGGAGGAGACGGCGGGCCGGCTCGCCGGGCACACGTCAGTCACGTTCCGAACGCCCAAGGTTGGCCTGCCCGCTGCAGCCGCCCCAGCCAATCAGAACGCACGGGGCGGGGCAGGCCGAGCTATTCAAATCAACCCCACAGAAAAGTTGCCTCTCCGAACGTCACGCGGAGGCGGGGCGCAAAGGCGGAACAGCCCATCCGAGGACCAATGGGCGTGAGGGGAAGGGTCGCGGCCGGCCGGTGGGAGGCTCCTCGCCAATCAGCTCGGCCGGGGGCGGGGCGTGCCGCGCTATGCTAAAGAGGGGCGTTGATAAAAGCCGCAGCGACGCCGTTTCCCCAGCAAAGCGCGGAGGTGCCCGCTGCTGGTAGTGCTGTGTTCCCGGGCCGAGCCAGAACTGCGCTGCCCGCCCTGCCCTCTCTTCATCCCTGCCCCGCCAGCTCTAGCCCCCGGGGAAGTTACCGACGGCCCCCTCCCCCGGGAGCTGCCGGGCTACCCGTCGAGCGGCTAGTGGAAAGGACAAGACTCGCAGCCGCCCGCCCGCCCTTAAGGCCACATGCAGGGTGGCGCGCAGGCCGGGGGAGAAGGGGTCCTCCCCGCCTGGCACCCCGGCTGTCACCGCTGCCGGGGGCATCGAGTAGAGCCCTTCCCCTCCCCTTCCAAAGCGGACACCGGCAAGCGAGAGACAAAGCTGCCCCGAGCTTCGCACAAACCGGCTTCCCCTTTCCTCCCTCCGCCCGTGGGGCATGGGGACGGCGTGCCCCGAGTGCCGGTAGCGCGGGAGGGGAGGGAGAAAGGAAGGGAAGGCGCAGTTCAGCCTCCACCACATCCATACACTCGCCGTGTCCCCCCACATGCACACCCCACACAGCACACGGCAGTCCCGTGTTCCCCCCGCCCCACGGAGCGGGGCTGTTTCGCGGGGTGAAACGAAAGGCATCGAGGAGGGAGCGAAGAAAGCGCACCCTGCCCCCCACTCTCGCCTAACCCCCCTCTCCTCTCTCCTTCCCTCCCTCTTTCCTTCCCTCCCTCCCTCACTAGCTGCCTCTCTCCCCTACTACAGCCATAATGAATACTGTACATTCCTAAATGTTGTGCTGTAATCTCTCCCTCTCTGTCCACCCAGCAGTTTCTTCCGTACCCCGAAACCCTACCACCTCAGCCCCGGGGACGGCCCCCCTTTGTGCACCGCACACCCCACTTCCCTGCCCCCGCCTTCTTGGCCGGCAATTTACACAGAAAAGCAGAGTCCTTGCTTAATAAGAGAATCTGGAGACCTTTTGTTCCGCCCCATGACAAGAGCTAACGCTGCAGATCAGCCCCTCTCCCTCCTCGGATCTCTCCTCCCGGCTTTCTCCCTCCTTTCACCTCCCAAAAATAAAACTACCATCCCTGTGGGGTGCAGAGGGGCAAGCGGAGCCGAGGCTCAGCTCTGAAGAAAAGAAAGGGAAAGACACCCTCCCCCCCCCCTCCCAGAGCCCCACACCACACACACGGACACAGAGAGAAAGCACTTACCTTGATATTTGGCGTCAATTTCCCTCATCAAGGAGACATTTCTCTGCAGATCGAAGGGCATAGACTCGATGGAGTCCAGATAATCCTCCACATAGTTCACTAGGTGAAGCTGGTCTCCGTTTGCAGGACTCAACATTTTCATCCGGCAAAGGGGAGGAAAAAAAAAAAAATATCTTTCCCACACCTCTGTCCGTGTCCGTGTGAGAGCAAGTGCTGCTTCCTCCACAGCCGGTAACCCCGCTGAACGGCTCACTCCCTGCCCACCTCTCTCTGTAGCTCCCCCAAAAAAACGAGGAAAGCTACATCTGACTCCTCTTCTGAGAAACAGAGGGAGAGAGAGACACACACACACCCTCCGCTAGTCCCCTACAGCCAGCAGCAGCTGATTGAATGGCTGTCGTTGTGGGTAATTCACGAAGGAGGTGGTAGGAACAATCAGAGGGATTTGTGTGTGTGTGTGTGAGGGGGGGGGGGGGGGGGGGAGGAGGAGGAGAAAGGAGAGGGGCTTAAACCAGCTCCTCCGAAACAGTCTGGAAACAAAATGTGCTCTGCAAAGTGTCTGTCAGGAGCGGCGGCAGCCCCTCTGCATGCGCCAGCGCCGCTCTGCTCCGCTTCTCCTCCGTTCTCCCCTTTCCCCGCTCTCCTCCTCACCACCGCCGCCGCCGCCGCCGCTGCTGCTCCCCGGCGATATTAACGCAGCACTCCTCGCTCCTATACGCCGCACTTGATCCAACGTGGAAAACCCAAATACCAGTTTCAAACACTTGGGAAACATTCAGCCCCGCCACGCACGGCGCATGCGCACCCCTCCCAGCGCTGTATACACACACACACACTGAGGCACACTCACCGCACACACGGACACACACACACACAGATACACCCCATCCCCCTCCCGGAACCGCGGCGGGGCCAGCACTCCTCTGCATATTCATCGTCCCTCCTCCCCTTACTCACGTTTGGGGAGGGAAGGCGGCGGGGATGCGGTCGCAGCGAGGGGAGCGGACAGCTCGGTGGGGAGGGAGGAAGCCCCCGCGGCCAGCAGCCCGGCCAGGGAGGGGAGAAGGAGGCAGGGAGGGAGGCGGAGGCTCCGGTGAAGTTGTGCGGACGCTCTGAGTGAAGAGAGCGGCCGGCGGGTAGGCTGAGGGGAAGCGCGGGGCCAGGCTGGCGGGGCAAGTTGGATGCTTTTGCGGTTGGGCACAGACTTTGGAGGAGTCTCTCGCCTTTCCACACACAGGAGCCATTCCCAGGGCTTTCCCGGGAGGGACAGGGAGAGGGGACAGCACTGGTAAGTGTGCAACGCCACGGCGCTGTCTGCGCCGCCGGACGCTGAGCTGAAACGCGGCCTCCCTCCTCAGCAGGCAACCGCATCAATCATCCACAACGGCGGGCGACACCCGCTCCAGCCAATTACCTCTTCCTTCGTGTCCCGCCCCTCAGCTCGCTCTGCCAATCCCCGCCAGAAGGGAGGGAAAGCGGGCGAGCGCCGCGGTGACAACGCTGCCCGGGATACCGGCCGCGGCACAAGGGGCGCGGGGAGAGGAGTACCCGCGCGTGCGCGCTCTAGGCAGCGCGAGGAGAAAATGGCGCCGTCTCTTAGCGCGCCGTATTCGCCTACGTTTCCCAGCGGGCTCTTCGCTGTGGCGGGCGTGTCGGCGGCGCCCCTTCACGCCGGTCTGCGGCGGCGGCGAGGGAAGGGTTAGCGACGCTTGTGGGAGTGACTGGGGCTGAGCTCGCTTAGCCTGGATGATAGCTGGCTCAGGCCGCCCCGCTCCCCATGTCCAGCGATGGGGCTCTGGTCTCGCCCGCACGGCGCTTTCCGCCGACGGAGGTGGGGCGGGTGCTGAGCGGCCGCGATTTCATCCCGTGCGTTGTTAGGGAGGGAAGTGCGTTCGCGTTTACCTCACGTTTCCTCTCGGGAAATTCTCAGATCCCGCAGAAGATACACCCGGTTCCGCCAGGATCGGTGGTATCGGGTAGCGAGGAGCGGGAAGAGGCGGGACTGGAAAATCTACCCGGGCAAAGTGAAGCAAAGCAACGCGCACTTTCTTGGTGTTTTTTCTTGTTGTTGTTGGGGTTTTTTTTTTGTTTTTTTTTTAAACGTCACTGGCAATCCCCTAATTTAGGGAAGACTGACTCATCGTTTCTAAACGCTCAGACCTGCTGGTACAGTCGTTGATGTTCTGCTGCTGCTTGTAGGGAGCAGAGACAGCAACGGCCTAACTAGGCCTCAGCATCTTAACCCCGTTTAAGTATTTCTGCTGCTGTCATCAACTTGGTGTCTGAATGCTTGGAGTGGGGTTTTGGGGAGCACAGGCTGATTTATTTGCTGTTTCCCCCTGTGGGATTCAGGCACTGAAATACATCTGAGGAGTGGAGACTATGCTGTAGACTAAGCCTATTTTGAACTGGCTGCGCCCCACTGCTTTGGGCAGATTTCAGAGGGCAGTTGCTCGTTTTCTGAAGATACCTGTAAGTTCTCTTTTTCTTCCTCTCATTTTCTGTGAGTTGCTGCACTTGCACACCTCGAAAACCTGAGATCTTATGTTGGTAAATTATGATGAGTACTACACCATCTAGGCAGTGCTCCAAGCCAGTGTTTCTGGATCTGTGTGCTCTGGTGTATGGTGGCATTGAGAGGGAGTTGTGTAATAGCAAGGCTAGCCCGGGAACACCTCTTCTAAATTGTTGACACCACCTTGGTAGTTAGAGCCTGTTTCACCCTTGCCTTGAAGAAGCTGAGCCACTGTCAGCAATTAAAGGTAGTTAACAGTCCCCCGGCTAGTGTAAGAACCCAAACCAATAATTATGACTCAGTAGAGGCAAAACATCTGAAAAGAATTCAAATAAGCCTCAAAAAGAGTAATTTTTTACAAAGAAGTTAACCACCATTCCAGACACATGGTAGTAATTACACATACAAATAAGAAATCAGTTTGTAAAAGTACCTGCTAATCTATTAAACAAGAACTTCTGTCCCTCATCCTTATAGACAAAAGAAGAAAATAGGAAGGCACAACTCTGAAGTGTGGCTGTTCAAAAAGTATTGATAGGCTTGGATGCACTGAGGATAGAGACCTTGATATCATCTGCCTCTTAAAAGTGCTGTCTACCGGATCTTCCTCTATTATCCTCTCATATGTTGCCTGCAGAGTGACAGAATTAAAACATCATTGGGCTTTGCATAAGTCCTAGGGAAGGGATAGGACTGAGCTCACCTGAGAATGCATTTAGTGTACACTTTTAAGGTCCCCTTTCACAGTTCAAGTGTTTTGTGCAGTGCCGTAATCAAGTACACCAGTACCCAGAAATACCTGTTCTCTGCACATCCCTCTAGGCTCAGTAGCATGTCAGCTGTACTTTTAGTGTGTGGAAATTGGGTATATGTGTACATCTCCAGGTTGGAAAGTTTTGGAGAATGTGGAGCTGATGCCCCATTGCCCATCTCTGCTTCTCCTCCTCTGTTTGCTTTTTATTTTGGCCTCTTGCCTCCAAACTGCAATATGTGAGAGATGGGAGATTTTGAATGGTGTCTCAGTTCTCTTTTCAGATTAGGGGCCTATTTCTTACTGTGGTGGAGCATTCACAGGTAGAAATGTAAGGAATGATTGTTACGCATTGAAGAAGGAAGACATCTGTGGGCTTAATTTTCTTCCCGTTTTCTGTACTTCATGGGCAGATAGAGTATCTAACTTCCCTCTTCCTGCTCACAAATCCCTTTGCTGCAATTACAAGAATCCCAAATCTCTGGGGTTTTCAAAAGCTTCTTGAAGCTGTTACCTTACTAAAGATCTAAACTCACAGTAATGGGAATCAAGGGAACATATAACCAGATCAACAACTCTCACAGCTACTGTGTAACGTACATACTGTGCGCGCGCGTGTGTATATATATATATATATATATATATATGATGTTATATAATATACTTCATATATAAATGTTCTAGTAAATATGGTTGTTCTGGCTCATCAGCATAAGTATCAGGATTCTTAATATGAGGAACATAAAATCCCAAACCTCCAAACCTGTTCTACAAATGCAGACACTGCTGATACAAGGAATTCTGGCTGCCTTCTTTCTCTGCCTTAGTTGAATATTGCTACATGAAATACTACATAATCTACTACAGCTGTGTCTCTGTTTATTAAGAAAGTCTGTGTGTTCTGACCGTTAGTGATTATACTCAATAGGTACAGATGAATCAGATCAGTTATTCCTTCTAATGAATTGCTGTTTCCACACCATTTAATAGCTTAATCCTTCTCTTCTACTTTGCATTTGTTTTGGGGGGTTTTGTTTTTTTGTTTATTCTTTATGAAGCTGAATTAATACTTACCTGGGTGATGATAATGGAATTTTACAAATCTGTTCCTTTTGCTTATGGTTGAAGGTTTTGAAACAAAACATGCAGGATGAGCAGAGCTGAGATTTGCAAGTGTGAACACAAGCAGCCAAGCCATAGCTTATGCTTTCATGTCATATGCATTGTCAGTGCAGTGGGCAGTGTATACCATTTACCAGTATTTGGGCCAGGAATACATGTTCATATCAGCAAATGATGTGAGATTAATGGGTTATAAAATCTGTAAAACAATTTAGCTGAGTTGGTCATTTTCCTGCTTCCCAGTAAAGGCTCAGGAACTTCCCAAACACTTAACCTGACATAGGCCTGACATTCCAGACTTTGTCTTTTTTTTTTCCTTTAAGTGAAGTCCTACTTAAGAAAACAGGTATTTCACTGGGTACAGCTCCTCATCTCTTCCTTTGCCTGCACTGAGACTGTTTCACCCACTGCCTTTTTTCACATGTGTTTCCTGGCTGCTGCCATCTATTCCTTGTATATGCTGCACCTAGTGAGCTTAAAGAGCACTGGCATTAAAGGTGAGCAGGAAGATTCTGTCTGGAACTAGTAAACATCCATTGCAGTACAAGGCCAATGCAGAAGTACCTCTGAGCTGTCCCACTATGGAGCCAACCCAGATCAAGGGGAGCTTATTCCATGGGCTCCACATTCCTGTAGCAAGTTCAAGAGAGATACATCTCAACAGCGGGAACCACTGACAAAGACACCCAGTTTGACCCTTGACTGAATTCCTACCAGCCCTCAGGTTTCTTTATGCAGACTGTGGCCTGGGACCCAGTTGCTTCTGATGAAAACCAGGCAGCATCTGTCAGAGCAGTTGACAGGTAGGTTGTCTAAACAATAGCAGGTAATGTGAATACCTTTGGGTTCAGCCTACCAAGCTTTTGTAAGAGGAGGAATGTTTATTTTGTTCTTTATGTCCACCAATGAAATTTCTTTTACAGTTTTATTTCATTTCCCCAGAATCACTCTTTTAGAACAGGTATCTCAAGATGATTTCTCTTTTATAAAACATACTCTTTATGTCATGAATAATTGGGGGAAAGGCCACTCAACACTTATTTATGAGTCAAACATTTGTAATAACCTTGAGAATTTTTATTCTCCTATAAAAAAACCTGAGATTCTTAAACAAACCGATAAATACCTAGGTTCTGTAAAAATAAAATTACTATAAAAGGTGAGTTGACATGTGTCTTATTACAAACTACTACAGAGTTACAAGAGAAATTCAGTCCACTGCAGTGGATTTAGCTCATCTTTGCTTTTGGTTTGTAGTTTTTCTTTACAACCTTCTCCCTTTGTCTCAAGTTTCCTTGCCAGGTTCCTGAACTAGAATCTGACAAGAAAGGTCACAGATACTGGAAACATGTTTTTGATAACACACAAACACAGCCATTCTCTGTCAACAGTTCTAAGACAGTGTGGTTTAATGTTTTAAAAGAAAAATGCTGTACCTGTAGCAGTAGGGGGGACAACTGTGAAACCTTACAAAGCATGTGTCTCATAATGATAAACAGAAAGGAAAAAAGAAATTTTAGATTATATTTACTTATGATATAAAACATGCTCTGGGATACACCCACTCATCTTACTTCTGGGGACAAGGCTTGTAGGTAGTCTTGGGACTGGAAACTGGGAAATACAGGAGGAGCCAGGTGAGCCAGAACCCCCCAGAGATACCCTCTCTGCCTACCACAGAGGTGTTGCAGAGCAGTCAGGGAACAGCACATAGAGCTGTGCTTTCACTAGGTTTTCCCTATAGATGAAGGCTGGAGAGAAAATGTAGTTGTCTTGCACATGCAGATACAGGGATGGAAAACACAAAAACCTGTTCTAAAGGCATGCAGGAGTCACCCCTTTATGTTAGAGCTTCAGATGTAAAAAAGACAAGTTTTAGCCTAAGTGGCTCCTAAGAAAAACATGGGAATATGACCTGACAATATTAAATACATGGGTGTCTCCTTGAAACAGCAGTTTACCTGAAGCTCAGTCATATTCCCAGATGGGTGTCTAACAGATGTACCACCCTGCAGACAGCATCTCCTGCTAGCTATATGGCACAAAACACACAAGTCACAGGAGTGCAGCAGGTTCAGGTCTGGCATTGGTTGGATGTACCCTGGTTTCAACTGCTAACAACTTCTATAGGCATCTTCTGCTTCAGGTAGAAGCAAAGATGAATCTCCTGATGGAGGCAGAAGATCCTTTGCTGCTATTCTGCCTCTCTGGTGGAGTAGTATCGTCTCATTTCACATGTTCCAGGCCAGGAATAAGGGTATAGGGGAGGGGGAGGTAGTCGTAGGTGGTAGAAGCAGAGCTGTACTTACAGCCATAGACTGATTGTTTCCAAGAATGTTCTCCAAATATGTAATTTATGGTTCCAATCCATCAGGATTAGTATTGCTTTTCATCTGGAATTGTATTATTTTGGTACTTCAATGCTTGTGGTATATTTTCCACTGTTCCACAGAATTTGTTCTATTGCATTAAAACAAATCTCAAGCATGAACAATGTTAACTATTTATTTTGGACATTAGGTAATTGTAGCTTTTCCTAGCCTCAGAAAATAATGTTTTATAGCAGGACATAGAGGTTTCTAGACTAAGTGCTAAGAGCCAGTCTGGATAACATAGACACTAAAGCCTTCTGAAACCACGAGGGAAATAAAAAGCTCCTGCATTCTTTTGATCTGTTGGCAGTTTCATCCATGCCAGCTAAACCTGGAATTAAGGCTAAAAGCCATCCATGGATACTTAGTTTTGATTTGGGCTCTGTCAAAGTGCTTGGCACCATGCAAAACAAAGAAGACAACGGAGTTAATGACAACTCCTAACAGGATGCATGTTGAACGACAAAGACATCAAACCCAGCTATGGAAACTGAAATAATTGGCTTGTGAAGCTTCCTGAGAAACACATGAAGCAAACATTTACAAAGGTTATTGAATATCTTCAGTTTCATCCTAGCTAGTCTCAAATTAGCAAGCCCGTAAGATAAGTTCAGTCAGAAAGTTAAGATCATTAAATGAAAAATACTGTAGAAAGTGCGTGTTAAGAAGGAAACATTTATCACTGGTAGGGCTTTATACCTGATACTCACTAAAATATACTAAGATGCAGATGGACACCTATTATTAGGTACAAGCAATGCTTTTAGATGTTCATATTACACATAAGAAAAAGCTATCAAACCTGTCCCTGGCAGATAGAAGAGGAAGCAATACAAGGACTTCTCTGAGGCATGTCACCACAGGCAGACCTGTTCCCTGCAGCATCCACTCACAACAAGCTGCCACCACCCAGCACTACCTTCCTCCCAAGTGATCAGCAAGATGCTTTTGCAGGCAAGTAAACAGAGTGGTCTGGGAGGCTGGGAAAGGCTCTGCTCTGAGCAGCCTCCTTCGAGGCTCATGTGGAGGCAGACAGTAAGTGCTGGAACTGACGGTCACTGTCTCCTCTCATGCAAGATCAAGGGTGGCTGCTGCTGGAGCTACCAGGCCGCAACTTAAACATGTGCCAGGAAGATGCTTCCTAAAAATGGTGGTAGACTGTAGTACTTGGTGCCAAAGGCAGGAGCTGATGCAAAGTCACAGAGGTCAGGGAAACTAATGGTAGAGCAATCTACCAATAGAGGGTAAAAAGACGGGGGGACACCAACCCCAAAGTATTCAGCTGAGGATGTCATCTGGTTGTAAGATGGGAGAATATCCAGGAAAATATTATATATGCCTGTGGAGTTCTCCCTTGTTTCCTTGGTACCCACTCATGGTTACTTTTGGAAACAAGACGCTAGTTAAAAAGGCCTTCTGACACCCTTATGTCTGTTCCATTACACTGTTATTCACTCAAGTAGCTCATAATTTCCAAAGCAGATCAAGGCAGTGCAGCCAGGCAAGTTCCGTTTCCTCGCTATGCTCTGAAAGAAAGAAAGAAAAAAGTTCCACAATAAGATGACAGAAGCCTCATCAGAAAGCACACACTCTGCTTATCCTGGCACTGGAAAAGAAGCTGACCTAGACCATCAACTAGTTGAAGCCCAAGGAACCTCAGTGAGTATCTAGCACCAGTTCATGTCATTTTTGTAATGATGTGACCAGGATAGGTAGGACTTTACACGGGTACATGGGAGTAAGAAAGGTGCAAAACTGTTTATTAAGTCCAGCTTGGGAATGTCTCACCACGTTTTTCTTGCAGGAACTGACGGGCTGCCTGCTGTTCTCTGATCTGAAAGGCAGTGTGAAATAGATTCACTCCCCGTCTGACCGAACTGACTTGACGCAGCAGGTATCGTTTTGCTAAACTATCACCTCTTCCCTACACACACCCCCACTAAAACCTCGTTAAGAACTCGGGTTCTAGCGCGGTTACGCTGAGGTACGGGCTGGGCACGCACTGCTCCGGCCGAACTGAAGCAGGGCACAGCCAGCCCCAAGCCCCGCACCCCCGGCGCCCCAGCCCGCCGCACTCACCCCGGGGCCGCTCCAGTAACACCCTTCGCCCGGACCGGGCCAGCAGCGGCCGCACAAGTGACCCTGCGGCCCGGCGGAGCCACCCGTCGGGACCGTGCCGCGCCTCTACCCGCTTGCCCCTCCTCTTCCTGCCGCGCCGGCTGTAGCTACCCCGCTCGCCTGTTGTTTCCCGGCACGAGCGGTGCAGGGTGTCGAGGTGACAGGCGCTGCGGGTTGTGCCCGGTCCCCTCAGCGCCCTCCCCGCTGAGAGGCGGAGCCGCCGGTTCCCCGCCCGCGGCCGGGGGCTGTGGCTATGGCCATGGCCATGGCCATGCTGAGTGAAGCAGCAGTGCTTGTGGCCCGGCGGTGCGGCCTCGGGCCCGGGCCCGGCCCTGGCGGGGGAAAAGTGGCAGCGCGACGATGTTGCAGCGCAGCGCGGCGGCGGGAGTGGGTGCCGCCGGTGGGGCGGGACAGCGGGATCGTGGCTTACAACAGCCGCAGCCGGACCAAGGAGCCGCTCGTACTGGCCAAGGACCGAGTGGCGACCTGGTAGCGCCTTGCGGCAGGCGGGCGGGGGTTACTTGGGTGGCCGGGCAGAGATGACGGTGCGGTTTGCTTCCCCTCTGCGCAGGTACAGCTGCGGGCCGACAGTGTACGACCATGCACACCTCGGGCACGCGTGGTGAGTCGACTCCTGAGTCACGGCGGAAAGTGGGGTCCCGTCCTGTGCGGGCACACTGGGGGAGGGAGCCCAGTAGCTGGAGTGCGGGTACCGCCAGGCCTGACTCGGTACTGAGCAGCCTGTGTCCGGGTGCCAGGATCAGACCCCGCTGGGAGCTGCCGGCCCTTTGCCTCTTGGTCTGCGTAAAGGGCAAACAAAATACTGTTTGTTTTCTTGTTTGTGTGTTTGGGTTTCCCCCTCTTGACCTCAGGAAGTATGGAAAGCGCTGTTGGTGCAGGTCATCCCAGGCAGAGATGCAGTAGTAGGGTGGAAGGTATTAAGAACATGCATTTTTTGCTAGGCAGGGTGAGTTGTTGCAAATTTTATCAGCTGTTCTGCAGAGGAGCTGGGGTCCTGGAGCCTCTTCTCTGTGAAATTACAGTTTTGCCTCAGATTTAGTTCAGATAAGGTGTTGGCACCAAGGAAAAACTGTTCAGGGTTGACAATTCTTTCAGGTGTTTACTGATAAACGCATCTGTTCAGTCATAGAGGCACAGAATACCAAATTGGAAGGGACCTCAGGGATCATCTGGTCCAAGATGCTTTCTAGGCAAAGCATGACCTAGACTAGATGTCCCAGCACCCCATCCAGCTGAATCTTACAAGTGTCCATCCTTGGATGACTTCCTGGGTGTTCCTTGGAACACTTCCCTGGAAAGTGTTCTTAAAGCTCAGAAAGGCCTTTTTGCATAGTAATAGTTCAGTGGCTTACTGTGTTTAAAAAAAAAAAACAAACCGAACAGCACAGTATTTTTTTTCCATAGGATAATTACAATACTAAACTAGCTTCGTTATAAGTAACTTCAAAAAAGTACTTTAAATACACCAGGGCAGGTTGTTTTACACTGATGCACCTGATGAGAAGACATGCAGCAGGCTGCCTGCTGCTTCCTATGAAGTCAAGGGGAGTTGCAGCTGCTCCTAAGCTTCTGTCCCCTAATTCTTAGAAGAACAAGATGCATTTGGCTTCTCAGAGGAGCAGGGGTTTCTCAGATAACTGTCATCTGTGTGAAGATCAGGTGCTGTGTATTTGAGTAATTCCATTTTAACGCAGGGGATCCCACAGCTTCTGGTCCCGACTTGGCTTCATTCAGAAACTTGTGTTGAATTTTGCTGAATGTTGAGCCATTGCAGTACTGCACAACTGCTGCCCCTTTCTGTAAAAGGGGAGTTTCAAAATACTAAACATAAGAAAATACAGTTGGCAACATCACCTTAAATGCTGCTGTACTGTTGTGTGTGTATGTGGTGATGTCTTTTTCCTCCTTGCTTTTGTCCAGTCTTAGCAGAGAACTAATCTGATATTTTACCAGTGATATAAGAATCAGAAAATGATATCTTGAATTATTCCATTTGTACTTAGTACCTTTAGGGGAACTTTTCTTTTTTTAAAGTTTTTTTTAAAAAAACTTTTTTTTTTTAAAAAGTCATAGCAATTTGTGCATTTAAATCTACAGTTGCTGTAATACAGTGTAATATAGCCTATGTTACAATTTACCTTGAAATATTTACCATTAAAAACTAATCACTTGAGAGCAACTGTATAAAAAGATGCTAATAAATTGCTTCATCACTTAATTGAGGTTCTGTAGTGTGGTAGGGCCCAACCTGATGTTGTGTAACAAGAGAGGGAATTGTAGAAGTCTTCCTGTCCGAAGTGGTATGGTGGATCTACAGCACAATGTTTGTAGAACTGGAGAACTTCACCTTTTCATCTTGCAGCTCTCTGGCTTTTAAATGTCTGGTTTTGTCAGTAGTTCTCCTTGTTCTCCTACCTTCTGGCTCTTTTGATTAAAGGCTCACTTTGCCTGTTCTTCTCATCCATCTCCTCTTACCCTCTTTCTAAGCTGTGAATTTCAAGTTTTCCTGATGTGAGGTTTGCCCTACATCTGTGTCATCTGGGTTTGACCGTTTCACTTACTGGTTTAAGACAGAATATTTACGGCTGAATCTTTCCTCTGGAGGGGTGTATCATGCAGATAAATAACAGTGGTATACTCTTTCTGCTACCTCATCCTCACCTTCATGTATTGTTTCCTGTAGTGCTGCTGTGCATCAAGATACCTACACTGCAGACCTTTCTCTCTTCTCATCAGTTAAGCTCTCCAGTGTGTGAAGAGTTGGCTCTTCCTTACCAGTGTCTGTGGTCTTGCACACATCAGTGGTGACATCCTGCTGCTTGGCTCATTTGATAAAGATGGTGGAGCACTCTTGATTTTATATGTGTTTTTAGCAATAATTGTGTATTTTTTCCCCAGTAGCTATGTCCAGCTGTAGAACTCTGGTAAGCATAGCTGAAGCGCATCCTGCTGATGCAAGTCTACAGGCCAGGAGATGCACTGGGAAAGAGCATGAAGTCAAATAGAGTTAATGGTTGTTGCTGTTGTGCTGCTCTTGTAAAATATCATTTGTTGTACTCTTGCAACGTGTTATCATTAGAATCCCTTTTTCCCTCTCCTGCTTGCATTTGACTTGCTGCAAACACAGCATAATGGAAATGAGCTTGAGATCCTTGAGAAGAATTTGAAAATAATGGTGTTGTTACTTCCCCCCTTCCTCCTTCCCCTCCACAAGGATTTCTTATTTCTCTAAATAATCCAACTTTCTCTAGGATGCTGTACTTCTAGCTTTCAAAACAGGTGCCTCAGTGCAACATCCTGCTGTTGCAAGAGGGTTGGACTAGATGATCTTTTGAAGTCCCTTCCAACCCTTAGGATTCTGTGATTCTGTGATCCAAAACTCATTCTGTATCAAGAAAAGAATCAGACAGGCAGATAATGCCATCTTTCCCCTCAGTTCTGAGACTGGGCTTGATCTTGCTGGCATGAGCTGCAGTCTGGTTGGCATCCAGACTCCTGGCTAAATGCTTGGAAATAAGAGTAAAACCAAGCATGAGAAAAGATTTCATTCAGACACTTGTGCCTGCTCTGCCATCCCACTGATTCTGACTCTCATTTTTTTTTCCTTTTCAGTCCTGAAGTGGTAAGAACCCTACTTTCTGAGGTGTCAGGAGTTCTGCTCTGACTTTTGCAATGCTGCTGCTTCTATAAATTCGCTTGGAAGATCAGAGGGGAGGAAACTATGCAAAATTTGTGTCAGCTCTGGCAACTACGACTGCAAGGCTGTTTAATAACAAGCTTTTGATGCTGGTGTCATTCTTCTGAACAGGGTCCAAAGACTGATCTAATGCTCTTGTGGAATCATGTTGCCACATTAGGTGAACCTTACTCCCAGAGAGCTGGTGTTCAGTAAAAACTCTCCCTGGCAGCATGGCTTTCAAAAAGCTGTTTTCAACATGGGCATAGTGCAGACAACAACAGAAAATGTTTTTCTTCATCAAACATCAAGATACTGCACATCCATAAATGTGAACCTTAGTGCCACCTGGTCCCTGCAGCTAGGGGGAAGGATGTAAATCCATTTCCAGTATTTACTTGCACTTCTTTGCTCTCACAGCCATTTGAGTTGAAGTTTGTGTGATGCTGTGAGTGAAATAGGAACCTGTAGGTCTGTGAGTCTCCTTTCAGGCTCTTGTTTTCTCCAAAGCAAGTGAAGGCTGAGAATTCTCATCACTCTACAGGGCAGACAGAGAGACTCTAATCACTATCTGATATCTCCCCTGATAATTGGGTTTTACTCAGTCAAAGTATGTTTTGAGAATTGTAAGTGGAGAGTCTGAGTAGAACAAGGGGCTTCCACAGCCCTGTGCAGTGGTAGGTACATCAATCTATCAGCATTGAATCTTCTGGTTTGTGGCAAAGAGCTTGCATAATTTCGAGGATTTATTCTCAGGTGTAAACAAAGCAAAATAACCCACAGCACAACTCTTCTTTGCTATCAGGAAAGATCTGTGGTGGTGTGTGAATGAAATAGTTTATTGGTGGCTGGCAGCTGTAGTTGTTACTCAACCCTAAGCAAAGTTCATTTGCACCTTATTTCTCCCTGTTCTTATGCCCTGTGGCTTTTGAAAACCTGTTAGAATATAGAAACCCTGAGGGATATGTTTCAAGAATATCTGATCTGTGTGTCTTATTTCATACTGCTGCTTTGAGAGAGCCTTGTGGTTCACGTATACCTTCCAGTGCACTTCAGCACTTGAATGAAGACGTGCAACAAAATAAAACCCTCAGAAAATTTGATGTAATGTGTCACTAATGCCAGAAGAGGGTAGGCCAGTTCAAGGGAAATTTGCTTGACTTTTGTGTGGGTGGTAACTGGTTTTGGAAAAGCACTTTATGCACTGAACACCTTTTCATTCATCCAGGTATTGGGGTATTTCGATTGTCCCCGTGGCTGTTAGTGCTGTTGAATATTTTTGTTTAAGTTTGTTCTTAATAGTGCATGTTTAAAAGCTCATGGGTTGTTTGTTGTTTTTTTTCTTCTCTCTTCTAGCTCCTATGTTAGGTTTGATATAATTCGAAGGATAATGACTAAGTTTTTTGGAATTGAAGTTATCATGGTGATGGGGATCACAGACATAGATGACAAGATAATAAAAAGAGCCAATGAGGTAGGTGTTTGCTGCAGTTTTGACCCAAACTTTTGATATTTTCTGCAGCTGCTTATATAGGAAAATCAACCTGAGTTTGTTTTTT